TCAGTACATTTGGATATCCAGCAGAAATTGGTTCATGGTTCCAGATATGTTTGATTTTCCATCTCCAGCATATGAAATGATCTGGATTTGGTATCCTTTCCCTAGGATTACCAATCTTGAGATAGAGAAGAATCACAAAGATTTGGGCGGCAGTTTTGCGAAACACAGCTTTAACTTTAGTGCGCATGAATCACACATGGTCACAAGAGCAATCTTGCCTATTGAATGTCGAGGTTCCTAGCCCTTTCCCGCTTGAAGGGTGCAGAAGTGATAATACTTGAACTTGCGTTCCTCCGCACTCGACACTTTCTGGCGTTGACCCTATCATCGCCTCTGATGTCAAAACAACAGTGAAGACCACTTTGAGCTCAAAATTGCGATCGCATTTTTGTTGGTTGCCTCCCCAGGTTTATATATTTGTTTACACGCTCTCTTTCCCTCAAGAAGCGTCTTTCATCGTTTGGATTTCTGCAGGTGTTGCACAGCGCCGAGTAGTCCGATCACACACGGACAAAAAGAACGAGCAGATGTTAGAACAGATCAAGGTTATGAAGAACCACATGTGCCCTGGCCTGGTGGCTTCTGAGGGGCTGGTGGGATGTTGGATGATGTTGGGATGTTGACCCAGGGACACGGTTGTGTGCGTTCTAAGTCTTAGTGAGAAGACCAAAGGAGCATTTGGGGGTTGAAAGAAATCACATTTGGACAGGGTTCATGGACATGCTAGGAACTTTTTTGAAAGGTCCATCAAACAAACATGACGAGTCTCAATATTGTCGTGGAACTTGTCAGGTCCCCTACTTGACCGTCCATGTCATGTGGAAAAACATTTTTATATTGGACTCATCTCCGTTCGGTACGGTTGGGCGTTCAGAACCCGCGTTTTAAAAACTCGAGTTCCAGAACGCGCGTTCTGAGCGAATCCTTTTTTCCAATGATGTAAAGTTAATTTATTTCCGGGGTTTGAACAGAGAAACCTTTTTTCCATTTTTTCCCCCCCCCAAAAAAAGGATGTGGAGCTCTTGTGGGCTCAAAATGGTGATATTAGAGCGGGGCGTAGGGATATGTTTCGATTGATAATTAAGTGGACAAGTGGATAAGAGTTACTGGGAAGGGGATATATGATATATTATAATGATTTTTCTAGGGTTTGATGTTGCTTTGTGTTGCTGAGAAGAACCGTTCGGACAAAAAGCCTTGGGTTGGGCAGGCCTAAGACGGAATCCTTTTTTAGCGGCTTTAAAAAGCGCTGGGCAGGCCAAAGACGGATCATTTTTTTGCCTGATTTAAATAGAATTGTGCAGGCCATGTGATAGAGTGGATCCTTTTTGCAGGGAGCAAAAAAAGGATTCGGAGGCTTCTGGGATCCATAAAACCACTAAAAACACCCCTGCGTTCGGAACACGCGTTCCGGAACGTACGTTTTGCGTTCTGTGTTTTGGTCGTGTTATTGGACCATCGTCCCCAATTTTGGACACGCTCACGTGTCCGCGAATCAATCTTGTGATTTCGCATCACCCAAACCTACCAAAATAATTGACAGATAGTGACAGGATTGTATTATCCATATGATTTCAAAACAACCTCCAAGTCTTGGAGTCTGGTACCTCCATTTTGTGCCAAGTTTTTTTTGGTGATGATCAGCTGCCCAGGAAGATCGATGATTTTGCTAGTACCATTACGGACTACGAGGCATTGATCAAAATGTTAGAAAAGCTCCGCACCCAGGCGGGGGGAACAGTGGAACAGCTGGGAAGAACCCAACAGAAGGACCACAGCAAATTTGATTTTCTGTTGATGTTCAGGACATGGCTACTGCACCCATTATGTTTTTGGCGACGATTTTGGACATAGATACGATTTCAGACATATCTGGCCATGTCTTTTTCTTTGGTGCCAGGGGGATCCAGGGGGCGGGGCAGCGGGGATGGCTCTAACACGCCAGGTGGAAGCGGATGGTGGTCCTCCTAAGCAGTTTGTGAAAGCCATTGGCGCATTGGAAGACTACATTGAGCCACCCGGCGTCAGCAGCGTGAAACACAGCTATTTAAGTAGGATAGCGGGACGTTCCGTTGAACAAGTTGTTGGAAACGTGATGTGATGGGCCTCTAAAATATGATGAATTCAGCTTTCAAAATCCCGTGACTTAGCTATGGCTAAAGCATGCTAAAGCTGTTTGTGGCTTGATTCCAGCCGGGGTTTGACTGCCCGTTGCCAAGGAAAACTCACGCCGAAATCCAGGAGAGCATTTGTCACTTGTTTCACATCACATCTCAATCATTCTCAAACTGTGTCAAGACCTTCTGGAGCAATTCTTTAATTTTTTTAAAGTCGTTCTAAAAAAAACATGCCTTCTCATGCCTTGTCCTAGATCAAGAAGCCTGCTGAAGTGAAGCACCTTCTACATCTCAAGCCTCACCCAAATCACAAAAATCACCAAAGTCTGCAGGAGAAGAAGTCCAAGGGCAACAAGTTGCCAGAGAACAAAGCGAAGGCCTTCAACACCCTTCGCTCCAAGGCCTTGAACTGCTCCGATTCAGAGGTCGCCTCAACCCCTCATCAAATCCCCAATGCCTCCACATCCCTTGGCTTTTCTTTTTTCCCCCATCATGGCATGTTGAATCATGTTCACTGCAGCTCAAAAAAGGCTTGTTCAACTCAGCTGCCAGGGAGATGTTTTCGATGTCTGCAGGTGAAGAAGGGCAACAAGCTCTACGCCGACGACCTGACGCAGCTGCGTTCCAACCCCGAGGATTTCCAGTCTGAAGAGGAAGCCGCAGACTCTGCCAGCGAGGTGCGAGGCGGTTGTGGTTTGGAGAAAAAAGATTGAGAGAATGAGGATGCCCCACTAGTAATTAGATTGGGTGATGGTAAAATCGTTATCAGAAGCAGGAGTTTGTCCATGTTCTTTTTTGCTTTTGAAGTCTTAGATTCGAAGCTCCTTTTTAACTCTTTTTGAAAGGGAAACTTCCCATTCTGAGTTTAACCTGATTCGGAGTGCTGGATCCTGGAATTCTCCGAAGTGAGGGGGCTTGGTTTTTCATCTCCTATGAAAAACCAGGGTCCCCAGAGTGGGGCTGGGTTTCCAGAGTTTCCAGATTGGGTTTCCCAGTCTCCGGGAGTCAACCCGTGGAATCCCACATCCGAGGCCAGCCAGGCAGCTGGTTCCGAGGATTCCGCCTCCGGGAGCTCTGAGAGTGACTCCAGCAGCTCCAGTAGTGACTCCAGTAGTGACTCCGTGCTCTGGCATGGTGGGATGGGATGGGATATGATGGGATAATAATAAATATATATATATATATGTATATGTATATGTATGTGTATGTAATTATATATATATATACATATGTATATGTATATGTATGTGTATGTAATTATATATATGTAGATCATATATAAATATTTTGCTATTGATTACTATTGATCTTATTGGAACATGTGGGTTTGTCCAACATCAAGACATGTTTTCACCAGGGTGTTTCTCAAAATTTGGCTCTGGACAGACCCGGACGGGATCGGTTGGAAATCGTGATATCACGTGGGGTTGAACACCTGGGAATTTTTGGATTGATCCAAGTATATATGTATATTATATAGATGATATATAGATGATATATTACACGCACATATATATATATATATATGTATAATATATATATATACATATGTGTGTATAATATATATATATATATGTATAATACATATATATATACACAAGATGTATATGTGTATATATATATGATAGTATATGGTGTATGGTGCAATCTTGCTTAGCATTCCGTAGAAGTGAATGACACTTTGCTATGTACATGCTCCAAAAGAAATACAAGGAATTTGATCAGGGGATTCTCACATCAACTCAGGGTGATTCTCAATGTTTATCAATCTGAGGTGAACAAATTTGATGAACATGATTGATCAAAGAGTATAATACTCCACCAACATGTTTATAATTACAATAATCAATTTGAAAAACCAATGTACAGATCAAACTGGTCGACTCATCTTGACTCCCAGAAGTTGGATCTATCTGCAAATGACCCCATTCGCCCGTGGCGCCTGTGGTGTCTCATATTTACTGTAGGTGGTACTTCGATGATGATGATGATGATGATGATGATATCATCACTATTATTCTCCACGGTGATACTGACAGTTCTAGAGGTGGTCATGGTACCTGGCAGAGGATGACCCCCAAACCAGCATGGATGTGAGGACAGTGATTCGTCGGACAGCTCTTCGGACACTGGTGGCAGCGATTCTTCGGATCCTCGGCGCAGCAGCCACCGTTTGACTCCCAATTTATACAACGGCCATATTTAATGAGGAAGGTGCTGACAGGTGGAATTGATCCATGCTGCTGTTCTAGAAGTTCCTCTAGATGTGCCAAGACGGGTTTGATTCGGTGTTTGTTAGAACATGTTCGCAGCATCTTGCCTGCAGATTACGGACCGCCATGAAAGTCAGGTGATGCGTAGGGCATCTAATCTCTAATCTCTGTCGAACCCATCATTTTTGGATCCGATCTCCTCAATTTCGCCAGTTTGTATCCCATCTCCTCAGCGACACCAGCAGTTGGCCTCGCTAGGACAGCGACTCTGAACCCTCCTTCGACGACAGCGACAAGAGCGGCAGCGAGGATGGTGACGAAGATTTGGCCCGAGAGAGGCCGGAAGGGATGGGATACGAAGTTTTTTTAAGGATCTCTTGGGACTTGGGACCTCCAAAGAGTTTGATCACTGATTTTAAGCTACAACATGTCACCATTAGACCATTAGCCATTGGGAGGTGGTATAGGATGGTATTCGATGGCATACTGAGTACCAAGACTCAAAACCAAACAAAAACTTGTTTGGTTTGTTTGTCCATGATCGAGAAGGCAGATGGAGACGGTCTAAGTTCCACATCACAAGACAAACTAATTTACTTTCCTTCCAAAATTATGTTGCGGTCCACTACAGAAACTCCAGTAAGCCTGTTCAAACTGTTCGAACTGAGAACAAATCCTTTATGCAAGTCTTGGGAGTTCCAAAGCCACTTGCCCTCTGGTAATCCGACAGAGCTAGGGAAAATGGTTTGTTTGTATCAGTTCGTGGATGATTTACCTTGCTGTGTTTGATTGCCAAAGGCAACTATCTTTAGACTTTTGGCATCTTTTGGTAGATGTTTCGATTTGGGGCACTTCCCTGCTACAGGAAGATGCTGCGATGGCTCATCACGCCCGAAAAGTTGGCGGAGCGTGAAAAGAAGGCTCGCCGGCGACGTGGGAGGATGGTTGTTGTGAAACTGCAGATGGGATCAGATGGGATCAGATGGGTAGTGGTGCAGCTCTATTCCTTGCGGCTTGTTGTGCCATTCCGTCCCATGGTTGAACTTGCCTGATTTTCCCTATTTTCACATCAAAATTGTGATGAATTAGGTGTATGTATTGCCATGTAGTTCCAAATCATTCCCTCATTCTTGGACACTTCCTATTTATTGCCAGATAAAACACTTCATCTGATATCATTACATGATACATAATCATACCTTTATTATCACATAATATCATGTATATATATATACAGTATATCATTTAACTATATTTAACTATATTTAACTATAATTTACATCATATATTCATTGGTTTATCATTCATTTCTGGTGAAAAAGCCGCCACAAAACGGACCAGGCCGAAGTCGCTAAGGCCAAAGAGGCCGAGAACAAGGCACTGGGCCAACTGGGTAACAAAAAGAAGAACTGGGCCTGGTATACCCATAGTATCATAGAGATAATATGAGATAACCATAATGAATAACTACAGTAAACTAATCTATATTTACTAACTGGTAAACTAATATCTCAAGGCCCATCTGCTTGTAGAGAAGAATATAGATGAATATAGTACAAGATAGTTTTAATGACTGATAAACATCAACTCTTGTATTCATAGAAAAACAACTATTCATTCTGTAAGTGCCTGCAACTATAGTTCATTTGAATTAGCACTTGGAAGATCCAACTGTTGCAGATTCGCACTGGGCACTATGGTGGCTGAAGACTGGGATGGGACAGAAAGGTTGACGCAGTGTCGAATTCGACAAGGATCTTGTTACTTGAAGAGAAATTATCCACAGTTTCTTGAGAAATCCAGAACGGGCTTCGTGAAATATTTCTCGAGTCTGCGAGTTTCACGGGTTTCACGGCCTGGTTTTTTTGAGTTGCGCGATTTGTGGAGCAGGCCAAAGATCAGGAGAAACGTGCTAGAAAGAAGGACAAAGTGGAGGAGGGTCAGAAGGGCACCACCCATCAACGCAAAGGCTGGGAGCATTGGGAGCATTGGGAGCGGGCGTGGCACTGGCTTAACTGATATGGCTAGCACCTTGGCCCCATTTTGAAGGCGGTGGGGACCTAGGGACCTGGGCAACGTTCACTTAGTGGATTCTATATATATATAATATTATATGCATATTTGGAGGTTTCCTGAAATGGTGCTACCCCCAGTTATCATCCATTTTCTTTTTGGGGATTTTCCATGGAAGGCCCACCATCCAGCTGTTGAGATCCCATTCTGCAGGTAAAGATGAGCCAGAAGAGTACACCTCCAAGGACTAGTCCGACGCAAGCGCTTAAGCTTGCGCAGCACGGTATTTTTCTCTCCTGGATTCCAGGTTTAGCCAATTTCCCATATTTTGATGGGTAATTTGTGTTTATATATTATATATATATATTTATCTATTATAGATTTATTATAGTATAATAATATAATATATATTTACATATTTATTATATCCCCAGTTTGTTTGTCCGTCATTTTCCCAGATCTTCTGGATGAGCCTCTTGGATCCCCCCAAAGGTTTACTGGTTCTCTACACGCATATACATATACATAGATAATCGTGTATATAATATAAATACAAATACAATAAGATACATATATTATTACACACTAATACTAATATAGAATCACATATAGTGATGACATGTAATTTTATATAATGACATACATATAATATAATATAATGTGCGAATAGAGTGTAAGCTACGGACCAATGTACATTATCACATAATTCACTCTAAGACTCGAAGCCAAAGGGTTGTGACAATCGCCCTTTTGGCTCAAGACCCCACTGCAGCTCCAGAACAAAGATCTGCCATGCGGAAGCCGCAATCCTAGTGAAGCCGTCACTGAAGCATTTACTTCAACCCCAAGTATCAGGACATAATCGGACATACAATCGCCGATTCGCAGGTTATCAGCCGTAGGTCTCGTACGGAGCCTACGAGCGGGTAGCCGCGGGCCTTACAGATGACTGAACAGGATAGCAGCGATAATGCATTTTCTTTCTCTGGACATGCCGTTGCACCAGCTGCCGGCACGCAGTCAAATTCTTCACAGAGTATTGACACTGGTGGAAGCGATGCCTCTGAATTGAGAACAAGCCTACCCAGGCGACCTCTGGTTGCTCCTAGAGGGAGACAAATTTCGACAATGCAAGCAATTGAAGATAGGGACAGCACACCTGGAAAGAGAAGATCATCTGCACGACAATTGTCGCCTCCGATGACTCCAAGGACCAAGGCAAAGACTACGTCGTCGAATCCGCCTTCACCGATTCAGGACGCTACTCCATCAGGGACAGGATCTTATCAACAAGTGAACGCCCCGTCAAGTGGTAGCGACATCTTCACTGCCTATCAAAGTGAATTATCTGAGTACAAGACATCACTGGAAAGGGCCACTGAAGAAGAATCTGTACTTCAGGCAAGACTGAGCGAGACGACAGCATATGCCTATCAACAATTTAATTTCCTGGAAAGCACCACTCATCAAGAGATGATGTCGATGACCGAACAACTCCAGATGCTGAACTTCGAGTTACAGGCTGCACAACAAGAAGATGAAGGTGCGACCTACAGGATCGAAGAGTTGGAAAGGTATCAGACTATGTCGAATGAAGCTGCATCTCATTTGGAATTCAAATATTCACGACTACGTTCGGAATTCGATGAACAAATGGGACAAGCGAAACGCAATTATGGTACATGTGGGCGCTGATGCGAATGCTCACATCAATCAACTCAGACTGGAACTGGAAAACGCAGAGATGAATGCCAAGCAAGAAGCTCTAGCAGTCGGCTACGCTAATGACCAAACATGTGCTTTACAGATCGAGATGCTCGAGGTTGCCAATCAGAACCAGACGATGAAGCACACCATGGCCATGAACGTCAGGCGACTGGAAACTGAGTTAGATGCTGCTGACATGAAGAGGGACGAGATCATGAAGGAGTTCCGTAGTAACATAAGATCTGAACATGACCGTTATGCAGAATGTGAACATCACTTAGCTTTGGAAGAATCGCAGCTTCGATTGCAGGTGATCCACAGTGAGAACTTACAATCTCGACTAGCGATTTCTGAGAACAGGGTTTCTGAAGAATCTCTAGCTGAATCAGGTGGCATGCGGGACATGAGGATAATGGGACTACGTTCTGAACTACACATGAAACAAAGTCTTTTAGATCGAATGCAACAGCAACTGACTGAATCGAAGAATCAGTATCATGAACTTTCCTGTCAACAAGCCAGAAGATCATCACCAAGCAGATCACCGCATGGAGGACCTCTCTATGAGATGTACATGCAAGCCGTGCGTGAACGTGACAGCTTGAAAGAATCCAAGGCCGAAGTTGACAAGTTGTACTTGCAGAACTAGATCTGAACTCATTGATACTGAGGACCTGCTCAAAGTATTCCAGCGAAACTTTGATGAAACTGGTAAGAAATATCAAGATGCTCTGAACAAGATCGATCACATGAGTAACAATCCGAATGTGACGAGTACCTTGTTTGACAGTTTGCACAATGAAATCAATGACAGGGATACAGCTATTGCTCGCCTTCATACTGAACTTGAAGCCCAAAAGGACTCTCTTGAGCGTGCTCACAGGGATGCAGGTAAGTCCATCAAGATGTTGAACGACAGAAGACTCGTGATCAAAGGTGCGACTGACTATTCCATTCCTGAAAGCCATTTGACCGAGATGCATCAATTGGCCAATGAGCGTTACGCTGAGGTAGAAGAGATGTCGAGCACCATTGCTGCCCTGAAGTTGGAAAACCAAGCTCATTCTTCTTCATTAATGAATAGACCGACTACATTACATGGGTACCCCAGTAATGCCATGCCTCGGAATGAATGTGAAGAGAAAGTGTGCCAAACTGAAAGCAGAGTTGGACGAGATGAAGCAAGAGAGGAACGCTGAAGTTCGAAATCTTCAAGATGAGTTGAAGAAGATGGAAGATCGTAAAGATTACTATAAGAACAATTTCTCTCAAGCTGAAGATCGTGCCAATGATGAAGAGCAGGAATATCGAGCAGAAGCTGAAGCCTTCGAGAAGCTCAGGAACGAGTACAACACAAATGTCAAGGAGTTGGAGAACCTTGAAAGGGATAGATCCAAGTCATCCGTATCTCTAAGAGAAGCCGAAAAGATCAGCCTCCAACCCTGGCCTAAGACCACTGAACTTTCATCCTGGAAGGGAAGTGTCGTTCATGAAGTTTGCGTTGCAAGTGGAGATCGAAACTATGAAGATTGGAAAGCGTGGTTAGCTCCGTGTCTTGCAGATCAACCTGACTTGGAGGCGCTGGCCAAAGCTCCTGATGTGAGATTCCAATCCATTGATGCCAAGCTCTCCAACGCCTTGAGGAAAGTCATTGACAATGCTGGGGACAAGTCCATGCAAGTGAAGTATGACATGTCCATGAAGAACCAATTGTATGGGAGGAGTGGGGACTTCATCAAGGGACGAGAACTATTTGCAATGATATTGATTAGCTTCAAGTCACCTGACCACACTGAAGTTCTCTACAATGCCCATCATTTGTATATGTTCAACTACTATGGAGATGACCAACTTGAGGCCTTCTACAACAAGTGGCTTGACATCGTATACAATATGAAACATGATGATCTGCCTTCCAACAATTCCCTGCGTGACACGTTGTTCCGGAAGATTGAACATTCAAAGCTCATGGCCTTCGATATCAACCGATACAAAACCTTTGATGAAGGGCATCCTGAGAAGACCTATGCTTACCTAACTGGTATGATCAAGGGATACATAGCACGAGGGAAGCAAGAACGACTGTTGAAAGATAGAGAACGTGCGGTGAAACTGTCATTGTCCTCTAACAAGACGACACCTGCCTTAGAAGATGCAGACAAACCTGCCGCTCCCGTCAAGACCAAGAAGGAGAATGAAGCGGCCGCATCGTCTACAGGTGATCCTCCCAAACGTCCTAAGGCGAAAGCGAAGAGTGAAGCTGCATCGGTACTTCCTACACCTTCTCCGAAATCCCATGCCGACAAGAACAACAAGAAAGGCAAAGGTGGGAAGGGAAGATCATCTTCACCCGTTGACAAGAAGAAGATTTTCTGTAACTACTTCTTCAATAAAGGAGGATGCAACAAAGGTGACAAATGTCTTTACAGTCATTCTCAGAAGGTCTACGATGCCAAGATGAAAGGTAAGAAAGGCAGAAGCGGAAGTAGAGATTCATCAAGAGGGAAAAGTAGAGGAAGTTCATCTTCAGCTGGACCCAAAAAGAAGGTATGTTGGAATTGGCAAGAGGGTACCTGCAAGTTCGGAAGCAAATGTAAATTCCTGCATGCAGATAAATCGCCTTCAGCATCCTCAGAGAGAACCAGCAAGAAGACACCAAAGAAGAAGGCGACTCCCATTACCATTGATTCCTTCTTTGATAGCGACAATGAAGATTCTATGGATTATACCTCACCGAGGATAGCCAGCGCAAAGAAGTCTTCTGATGATCGCAGGATCTCATTTGATCTGGAACCTGAGGTGCACGAGATCGCCATTGATGACTACCAGGAGGGACTACCCAAACGTATGTATCGTGACCCCAACAAGCAATATGTCTTCTGGAAAGTTGATGATTTGACCGACGATCAGTCCAAGTCCGACAACACCCTCGGTTCAGTCCGAGCACGGGCCAAGGCTATCATAATGGACAGATGTGGACTCCATCGTTTCGTTGATGAAGTTAGAATCATCATTGGCCCCAAGTTCGACATGTTGATCAAACTGGACTATAATCATGATGACTTGACTTTCATTGAAGAGCTTGTTGAACATGAAGCTGGAAAATCCCTCATGAAGTCCAAGAACATGATGTGCATTTCATTACCAGTACAAACCAAAGATCGTAGATTCATCCTGGATTCTGGCAGCGGACACGATTTGATTTCTGCAAGGAAAGCCGCAAGGATGAACCTGAAGCAACGAACTTGTGATCCTATCATGTTCCACACAGCCAACGGTTCAACTGCTACTCAGACGGAAGCAGAGATTGACCTGGGAACCTTCGATGTGACCTCTCATGCCTATGTACTGGACGACACTCCGTCCGTGATGTCTCTTGGGAAACGATGCATGGAAGAGGGATACTCCTTTGTATGGCCTTCTGGTAAAATGCCTTTCTTGATCACAAAGGATGGTGAGCGCATCGACCTGACAATCCACGATAACATTCCTTATGTTGATCTTGGAACATATGAATGCACTCCTCATGAATGCCATCATGCAT